TGTGTGTGTGTGTGTGTGTGTGTGTGTGTCTCAGCAGGGTTTCTGTAGATTTTATTAACTCAAATTTAAGACCTTTATGAGTGGAACTTAATACGTTTATCCTCAAGGAAATGTACGAATTTTGTCAGCCAACTGGCAATGAGTGCTAGCTGTTTGCTAGCTGGCTAACTATAGGTTTTATTAGCATTGAGTCTCAGAACGCAATGAAGATGTCCAAGTGTCTGGCAGAAAAGTCCCATGAGAAACAAAATACATAAACAAAATTAAAAAAACACAAATAATTTTGGTTTAGTTTAGTACACCAGAAATAATATAAAAACTATCTTGCAAATAATAAGCAAAATATAGGAGCTTGTACTAAGTTAATAATTCTGTAAAATATCAGAAAAAAATACATATTATTCCATTGGCAGATAATTTCATTATATATATAAACGCACAAAATTTTAAATAATTTTAAATGAAAAGTATGCCTGATAAAAGACAAAGGGATGCTGTGCTTTGCTACACTATGGCTAGATAAACAGGTCAGGAAAAATGTAATTACGAAAAAAATATGGAAGGAAGAGAAGTAGTTCAGTTATGCTAACTTGACTTTGACAACCCTAACATGTAAATGTGGTGTGGAATATATATATATCCATAGTATTATTTTTTCTTTTAGTAAAGAAAATGATAGTTTCGACCTGCAGCCACCAGATGGCACCAAAGCCACAAAAATAATTTCCAAAAGACAACGAGAAGCAGTTTTCCCTTTACTGGTTGTTGTTAAGTTCTTACAATAGACAGTATAAATTACGGCAAAAAATATCTACCCGTAAATTGGAGATATTTAGGATTGATAATTATCCGTTTAGCACCTGGTTTGTTTGGTTTTTTAATCTCCCCCGGCCACCGGAAGCGGTGCGGATAAAGCCGAGGTTGCAAAGTGCGTCACACGGTTGAGCTGCGGAGAAGCACAAAGCAAGAGCTGCAGACGACCGTCGATAAAAATACATATACATTTCCACCTTTTGTGTGTGTCCGTGACTTAAAGACCCGAGCGGGACGTTTCCGGGTCCAGCATGGTGAAGATAGCTTTCAACTCGGCTCTGGCGCAGAAGGCGCTGGGCAAAGAGGTGCCAGCCGCGGTGAAGGTGAGCTAACGGGTTTCGTTCAGTGCGATGCCGGAGGAGAAGGGACCTCCTCCTGGCCCGAACCCACCGCAAGCGAATGCGAATCACATTCATGTGCAAAACCAATGCGGTGATTTTACTGTATTGCCTGACACGGTATAGTACCACCACCTGCGGTGATTTATTATTATTATTATTATTGGTCATTTACTGAAATGCACCGGACGCAGGATGCAGATGTTCACTGAGTCAGGCTTATAGGCTTTCATCTTCGCATAACAATAAAACATCCATCCATGCATGCATGTATGGATGCAACGCTGCATTATTATTGCTCTCTATGTGCTATTTGCGTGTATTTGTGCATGTGTGTGTTCAGGACCCGGAGCTGGCCTCTGACTCGGCGCCCACAGACGGCTTCGGTCGCCTTATTCTCTACCTGCTCGGCATCTCCTTCATCCTGACGGGGCTCATCGTGGGGGGAGCATGTCTCTACCGGTATTTCACCCCAAAGGTTTGTGTTTCATTAAAATCTGCACGTTTATGCGGTAAAGCCGCGCATTTATACGATGAAATATGGTGGAATTTTCCATTACAATACAGACATGTTCCACCATGAGCTTCCAAAAGTCTAGTTTTGACATGATGTCTGTCATAATCTTTGTTGATTACAATGAATATTATCAGGAACTCATGGAGGACAAACCAGACATTTAGTTTTTGCACCCTCACATCACCTGCAAATTATTTTTGGAGAAATCTGCCAGAAAACTAAATGAGTCCCACTCAAACATAAAACTCACACACACACAATGACACCAGTATGCATTTACAGTCTTAATAAACACCAAAAACACAAATAACAATAAAATCGCACACATTAAAAAAACAATTATGAATGACCTAATCAGCCAATGAAGTTTATTTGTGTAGCTCAAATAAACACAAAAAACATTTTGTCGTCAAAATCTTCAATCGACGTCAAACGTGTCTGTCAATTTTCCAGCGATTACAGCATTAGGCTTTGGTCATAACCTGACCTTTTGTTTACAAAGATTAAATTTCATTTTATTTGTTGTTTTATTTATTTATTTTGGATCTTCAAAATGTCTTCCCTTTCCAGTGCTAAATGTTCATTAGAACTTAAAGTTTACTGATGTTTAAGAACGTGTTCGTGCGTTATTATTTTGCCACTATCATTATATTACTTTAAAATGGTCTCAAAACAATTATATTATCATTTATCGCGACAATATTCTGGAAGAATTTATCGTCCAGCAAAATTTGTTATTGTGACAGGCCTATACAGCATAATAGTTTTTAAAAATGGCAGATCAGCTAAGAATAAGAAGCAAAATTAAAATCTAAAACGTTGAATTATATTCATCCGTTGTCTAAACCAGTTTGTAAATGGATGGAACAATTTATCGTATGCATTATAAATACATAAAGATATAAGAAAATCTATTCTTAAATAAAATGTGCAGCAGGTTGAATTAAGATGAGCTTACTCGCTCTGTGTTTTACACTTAACAAGGCTTATGAGGACTAATAGTTACAAACCATGTAATTGCTTGGTTGCCATGGCACTTAGAGGCCACATAATGATACTGGGTCTGATCTTCAGTAAACAGATATGTATTGCTACCAGGGGGGTTTCAATAAATTATTCACATATTTCCAGACCGGGAGCTGTTGCTCTTGTTGAAGAGGAAATATTAGAAATGTACTCCAATAAAATAAATTTACTAGAGAGCTGATACTTCGGTACAGTGTTTGAGAATTTGCACTTTAAAGGAGTAGCTTTTTATGATTACTTTAATTCTACTGCATTTTAAATATAAAATTCATGTTTTACTCTCCATTACATTTCTCTACAGGCTTGCGTTACTAGCTATTTATGGTGACCTTTTTGTAGTTTTCATCCATTTTTTCCATCAACACGCTAAAATTACACACTACAACGTTCCCATGCAGCAGCTTTAAACTGGTTCCAGAAAGAAGAAGAATACAGATTTCTACACAGCAGAGGGTTGAAATGATGAACCGACATCAGCTTGTGAAGACAGTAAAACCTGAATACAACCCTCTTAATTCACACCACACTTGTGGCTTTTTAGGTCTGTTTTTATACATGTAGGTCAGCAACAACTAAGCCACAGCTTGATGTTATGTCTGTCATAACCAACCACAATAATGACCTAAAATAAACTTAACAAGACTGTGTGAAATTCTTTCTATTAATAAAAAAAAAGGAATATATCAAGTATTTAGAAATGTTTAAATTGAAAATGTATACAAGATTCCCATACCTAATAACCATACCGTACCGTATCGTCCACTGGACAACGGTACGGTATGGGCGTTGTACCGCCCTTCCTGGGCTTCCTGGGTCGCTTTTACCATGGAAACACACAAAACATGATATGGAAACCACGCCATAATTCTGTTGAAGTATTTTGTTGACCACAACAAGGAACTTCTGTTAAACTTTGAACAGCCTCTGGCACCAGATTCACCAGAAGGACGATCGTAACGAAGACGTTGTTTCTTTATACGTTATTACGTCTTTATACGTAATGGATGCATAATTATTCTTCCCAAGTCTAGGTCCCTTTGTTATTCTTGTCCCTTTTTGGAATTTCGCCTTCCCGTTTCCTCCATGATGGGGGTAAAAAAAAAAAAAAAAGAAACACCACCTAACTCTCCGAGGAGTTTACCTGAATTGCTGTTTTGGCCGGCTAAAACCGCCGTCGGATGAGAGCGCCACCCCCCCATGCATGGTTTTTAATCCTAGAGGATTGTTCTGACTCTGGCTTTAGTGGAACCAATCGCGATGCTTCCTGCTAATTCCTCCGCCAGCTTGTGCAGAGACGAGCCGAGAGCTGGGTGAGTTTGGGAGGAAATTCTTTTGAAAACACTCTAACCTTGGTGGAAAGCGGGAGTGCTGGCTCTCAGACGTTTCCTTAGGAGAGAGAAAGTTCACTATTTTGAGTCTAGGACTTCAACTGTTGATTCAAACCAGGTTGAATGTAATCCGGTTTTTTATCTGCTTAAGGATCCAACTCCTTTTTGGAAACAAGGTTGTCTAACTTTAGCTACGCATTAATGTCTGTTTAATAATACAATCAGCCTTGATTACATGCAGCATTAGCTGCTACACCCAGCGCTGCGGATCGCAGCTGCAGTCAGTGGAGATTCCTGTGACGGATGGAAGAAAAAAGAAATGAACAAAGGTCCTCATCATTATGAAAGTGCACACTTTAGTTCTTATAGGGTTTTTTTTTTTCCATTTGACAAGTGGAAGTTGAGTTAAGCTCTAAAGCATTTTAAAATGGAGAGATTCTTTGATGTTAAAAACGAGATTCTCAGTTTTGTACTTAAAAAAAGAGGGGGAAACACTTTAACATCTCATAAAACCGATCCACAGAAACAGTGTTGATCCACAGTGTTTGATACAGAATAACAGGAAATACTGACCTCTAGCTGTCGACTTGTGAATTTTTTTGTCTTTTCCATCATAATTGTGAAAAATCAAAACAGAAACAAGAAGAACTGAGGGAAAAACATCAAATATAATTTGGAAAATAATAAAACAGATTTCACAGATCCTTAAATTATTCTGAAAATCATTTTGAAAATGTGACTTTTTAATCCACATGTCCTAATTTAGCCAAAACATGAATGTTAAAAGTCACAGGGACATTTAAGCATCATTAGAAATCTTTATGTTGGATTCCACTTTATCATTCGCTTTCCAGCACTTTCACAAATGGTCTAAATGGACGGCTGTAGCATCCAATCAACCAACTCACAACGTATAACTGTTGTTCAACGTCTATCTTTTATTTTTTCTCCATAAGTTTACATTAGTAAGCATATCTGGAGCAATGTGGGGCTTTAGTTTATGACCCAAGGAATTGGAGATAAATGGGTTTTAAAACAAAGTCTCTGAAGCTTCACTTGGAGAACGACCTCTGACGCAGAGTCTGTGGAGCAGAGGCTGCAGCGCTTTTCTCTGGAGGACTGGGGGGATCCCAGTGGCTGGATGAAAGACGTAACTGTTCTATAAAAACTGTTGGCAAGTTTTCAGATTTATTTATTAAAGTGTCGTTTCATTTGAAGGCAGTGTTTCAGCGGAATGCCACAATGAGTTTTACAGAGATGTTTATTTTTTTAGTTCAGAAAGAAATACCAAAGTTATTTCGATTTACTAAATACAGCATAGCGAGAGACGGGATTTGTTTTTCTTTTGACTTTCTTCAGATTTTGAAGTTAACGTTCTGTACTCAGATTGCAGAGCCTTGTTGATGATGCTGTGTTTTAGTTTCTGGTTTTAATCAGGTCTGTGTCTCGAGACACATTCTATGTGTTTTGGTGTGAAATATGAAAGAATCAACACCAAGACAGAAGCAAAACATCTCACAAAGACACTGACTGAAGCTGTCAAGAGCCTGTGCTTGTCTATCATACAACGAGTCCATGGGCTGGTAGGCCGTTCAGAGAAGAATCCACAACTCCAAAAGAAAAACAGATTGCAGTTACTGAATGTAATTAGTAGCTATGTTTCCATTGTCTTGTGAACTTTGAGCAAACTTTTAAAAAGAGAAGAAAATTACAATGTGAATGAATTTGTCGCGTTCCTCTCTACTGGTTTGGCGGTACACCAAGCGTAATTTCGTCAGGTGTTGACGTTACGCATGGTGGTCATAGACAGGAAGTAGAGGTTGCAGACTCCCATACCTCACATTTCAGGAAAACAAGGAGAGGTTTTCAGGAACGTGTTGTCTGGTAAGTTGTTCGGCCATGTCAACTAGTATTCGGCAATGTCCGGAGAAAGAAATGAAACTCTAAAGCTCGGCAAAGAACAGCTGATGGATCACGTGAGGAAAATGTTTGCTAAATCAGAACTTACTAGACATGTTTCGATCGACCCAGTTGCACGGTAACCCTTTTTTCTCAAAAGCCGAAATCCACTGCAACGGGGGGTGAAAACTTTCTTTTTAAGGTAACTGAGGAAATTATTTTTTAACTTTGACATTCCCATCAACCTTTTCTAACGTGATGCCTCAAATTAAAACTAAAAAATCGTTGATGGAAACACGGCAAGTGAAAGAACCCCAGTGTCTTCTGGTGTTATGAAACCAGAACTGAAGTGTTTGGCCACAATGACATTTGTTCTCACTTGTAGGACAAAGGAGGAAAGCTTGTTACCGTGAGAACGCCGTCCTAACTGTGAAGTTCGGGGGCGGCGGCAGCATTTTGTTTGGCCGTTTTGCTGCAGGAGGGACTGGTGCACTCTACTTTAAATGATTAAAGAACCTGCATGTTGCATCTCTAGACGTCAGACAGGAAGTTAAAGCTCGGATGTTCCCAAATGGACAATGGCCCCAACCAAACCAACTCATTGATTTCAAACTGGCTTAATGGCAGCAGAGTCAACATTCATCCATCACCAAGTCGTTGTATCTGTGACTAAGCTCTTCAGTGGTTTCATCACCTACATTTTTAAATCACAAACCTACCCAATTTGCTTTTTCAAACCCATTAGTGTCTGAAAGTCTTTGAAGACACAACCACAGCTACAGGAAAACGTTTCTATTTGCAGCTGAGCAGGTAGAGAACCACCGACTGTGTTCACAGACTGTTGTGGTTGCAGAGAAACATCCTGCTCTGTGCGGCCGCTCTGAAAAGCGACAACCTGTTAAAGCCTGCAGTACACCATCGTACAGAAACTAAACTGACACGATTACATTCATAGCAAAACCCAACATCAAAGATGATTTTTTTTCCCCATCCTCTGCTTTCATTTGTTTCATATTTTTTTCAGTTCTTGTTTCTTACCTGGAACTGTCTTTGTGTGACTGATTTATCTCTTTTGACTCCCCACCAGAGGCTGTATCACGGCGCCATGCAGTTCACTGACGTGTCCACCGGGTCAGAGAGCCAGCCCTACTACCTGCCGCGGGTGGAGGAGGAGGTGGAGATCTCAGACAGCATGGCCGTGGTCAGCGTGCCCCCTCCTCGCTTTCGGCCCGGAGATCCCGCCTACATCCTCCACGACTTCAACCGGGTGAGGACCGCCGGTGACCACGGCGACCGCTTTCTGTACTGTTGGTGGTCGGGTTCTGAGCTCACTGATTTCATGCGTTTCTTTTTTGTTTGTTTGTTTTTTTTAAACAATGCAGAAACTGACGGTGTACCTGGACCTGACTCTGAGGACCTGCTTTGTGATTCCTCTCAACACTTCGGTGGTCCTCCCCCCTCAGGACCTCATTGACCTCTTCTCACAGCTGATGGTGAGTGCTGTTCACTCAGTGCCCGGTGGATTGATTACAACAAAATGACATCACAGTGATGAAAATCCGCTCGTACGGGAGCTTGAGATCCTTGGAAATGTAGTTGATAGTGGTTGATATTCAAACTGCACAGTTTGGTAATAAAGTGCCATCCAATGTTGATTAAAAAACTAAATTTTAAGGCATTATTCACAGTTGAAACCAGATATTTAAAGATAATAAAAAGACAAACGTGCCTTCTCACCAAACTTCTCTCATTTCAGGTCTTTCATAATTATCAAAATGATTTCTATTTGTTAAATGCCAGAAAACGTAGGGAGAAAACTTTTTATACATTATTTAGTAACTTTCTCAGACTAGTCAGGTGTACAGGATGTGTGTAAGAGAGATATTTAATTTGTTTTACATTTTTCCTGCTGGAGTAAACAGAATACTAATGTAGGGAAGTGCTTGAATGTGTCGGCGCATGTCAGTGTTGGATTTGCTCTTTGTGTTGTGGAGCTTTGTGGAGTATGTCCTCTGAAGGACACCGTACTTGGCATTCGTTAGTGTGCGCTGGTAATACAACGGCCAGTTTCTGCTCTGCATTCTAAAGGGCGAAGCCGCATCGCTGTCAGGTGGTCCGAATAAACGGTCACAACCACGATCCCAAACCGCAGTGTGTGTCAGAGTCTTGTTTCCTTCCGACGAAAACCTTAAAGAGTACACAACGCAGAGTCCAGGGAACAACGAGGACTCGACTCTCACAGCCAAGGGTTACACTAACACAAGATATTATTAATAAATAATTGATGTTACATAATAGTGAAGTGAAACTGTCATCATAGTTCATTTTCAAGGTGTTGT